CGGCGTCCGATGTACACTTAAGAAAGTGTTCCCCGGCTCCTTTGGTTCAGTCAGTCTCTTTATATAACCAAGCAAGTGGAAAGCGATGACCATTTGAGCTACAAAGAAAAGAGAGGGGATTTTATTGAAGTTTCTTATGTGAGAAAGACCAAGTTGAAGAAACATACCTTTAAGATTTAAGAAAAATGTTCATGACTTGCTCAAGGAAAGATCTACGTGGATGTAAGCTACACTAGCCACGAAACATAAGAAGAACGCTATTGCCAACATCAATGGTTCCGCAAGCATGAAAATTGGGTTGAAACTGTAGTAAACCTGCAAAAGAAAGTGTACCAGGGATGAAAAGAAGCATTTCAAACTGAGCCAGAGGACGCGCATTTAACAATGACCTCAGATTAAGAGGGAAGACCAAATAAGGATTAGTTAAGCTGGAAATCGCCATAGTTTCTTCGTCAATCATCCAAAGCATATTAAGAAAGACTTCATTAGCCGAAAGGAAAGTAAAGAAAGAAAAAATTATGGCTTCTTCACATTTAAAATGTAGGGTTACTTTTTTCTTTTTAATAAATAAACTGATTATAAAAATATTTTATAAACAACATTGGTTTTGATTATTTTCTTTTATGTTAGAACAACATCAAGAGTCACCACAAGTATTTATAAAGTAAGCTATCGTGGCTATTGGTAATCACTATAATTACTAGAAAAAAAATAAAAAAATGATTATTATCACTGATGCCCCATGAACTTTGGGATTATTCTCAGTTTGCCCCTGAACTTTAAAAACTCTCATGTTGCCCTGAACTTTGAATTGTTTCCACTCAACCCATTTTATTGCAATTTCTGTTAAACACAGATAGAAAAAAAAAGAAAAAAAAGAGAAAAAACACAGTCATGTGGTCTTTCTGTTTGGATTTCTGTTAAAAAGAAACAGATAAAAACCACATGACTACACTAAACCCACTCTTTTTCCGTCTGATTTTAACAAAATTTATAACAAAAGGGGTTAAGTGAGAACAATTAAAAGTTTAGGGGTAAAGTGAGAACTTTCAAAGTTCAGGGGTAAACTGGGAATGACCCCAAAGTTCAGGAGGCACTAGTAAGAATAATCCAATAAAATAAAAAATAAAAACCAGTGCTATCCTTGAAACACTTTTTCATTTTAGTCCTATAAAAAATTAATCCTAAAACTGTTGGTCGTTCTGGATGTACTTTAGTCATGCCAATATTCAAAGAATCACTTAAATTAATTTTGTGTCAAAGCACAAATGCACTATTTCTCAGTATTGTCGGACAAAACTGAAACAGAGTCTTTATCGAAACTGGCTTGGCTGAATGTGGAGATTCAAAAGCTTATAACAAGTTCAATGTGCATGATAGCCAGGTCATCAACTCACCTGGAAGGGGGAGTTGTGCTCAGGGACTACGTTTTTCTTTTCAAGAACCATCACTGTCCTTCCAATGACATCAAGGTATGAATATTTAGTCTGCAGAGATTGAAATGGAGAAAAAAGGACTTTCAGTTAATGCCGCTCAGAATTCAATAGCTGTGCACGTAAGTCGTAAATAGTCGATGTAATTATGAAGCATATTTGTTATTTGAACCAAAAGAAACGAAAAAGGGTGAATGTTTTGGGAAGGAAAAATATCTATGCACACTTGATGAAATTAAACGGAATGAAAGTATCCAGATGTCACTGCACTTACAACGAACAAGCAGTGTTGAGGAAGACACCAGTTTTATGTCAAATATGATTTATCATGCCCAAATTTCATAATTTAATAGTTACCTCCAGACGCTGCTCCACTGGAAAAGGAGTAACCACAGATGGATCTTTCGATCCCTCTGGCAGCACAACCTAAAACATAACATTTCCCAAAGACAAGTTATCCCTCCAGCAGTTAAGACAAGACATTGAGGAAACAAATGCAGAGAAAATTGGATGATAATAAGTGTAAATAACTGCTTACTTTGATTGTCAACTTGTCTACCACTGTCTCAACAAGAGGACAACCAAAAGTGAAGTTTAGGTATCTCCTCCCATCAGGTGACTCAAAAAGGAAATCTTGCAATGGTAGGCCATAGCCAATGACAAAAGTAGCTTTCCAACCTCCAAATAAAGGATACCTAGGTTCAATTTCAAGTTCAGACTGCAAGGTGAAGGTATAAAGTTAGGCATACACAGAAACAAAATGGCAATTGATAAGCCTTAAATTGAAATACCATTTCACATTGCTTCCCACTTGAAATAAAAATAAAATACAAACAATTAAGAGAAATAATGATAATAAATATAGTCCTGCATTTCAAATAATAAGCTGAGCAGAATTTCTGCACAAAAATTAGTAAAATTCTGAAAACCTTTAGCTAGATACCTTTATAGTGTTAACACTTTATGAGATAAATGCTACTGACAAAGAACTCCAAAGCTCATCTATCAAATAAACTAAAAACCATTCAATCAGATCTCTTTTACTACTTGCATCCCACATTCCACATGGAACGTAAATGTAGAATACCAATTCGGAAACTGAATTTCGAAATGAGAAAATACCAATTGTAAAATATACGGAAGATATATTTTATCATACTCAAACGTATATCCCACTGGTTAAGAATACACTTTGAACAATAAATCTTATATTAAAAATTTGAACATAATTAACTTGGTTGGGTGTAGCTATTTGCCGATTTGTATGCAAGGACCAAAGTTAAGAAAAAAGTAAATACCTTGTGATAGTCTGTTCGTAAATGTGATGATGAGATGTTCCCTATGTTGTCACGGTAGTAGACTGAGTGAACCCTAGGAGGTAGTCTCGCAAGAAGATTCTTAAATGACGAGACACCACTGAAAGACGGCCTTGACTGATATTCAACCCTGACAAAAGAAATATTCAAAGATTAACAATAGTGTGATCCATAGATTTGAAGAGGGAGTAATCGAAATAGAAGTGTAATTCCGTGAAATTCAAAGTTGAGTGAATTAGCATTAAAACCCTGTAATATCAAGATTCTCTACCACTTCAGACCCTGTATAGTTATGCATACAGAACATGTTGCAATCACGCATTCCATATTTACACTTATATCCATTCCTTCATTAGAAGACATCTACAACAGTTTGACAGATATATTTCTTGTTCAAGCATAAGAAGATACTGTACTTCTATACTTATTGGTAACTAAAGGTTCGTTTAGTTAGTTTGTTTGTTATGATTTTTTTTTTTCCTTTAGCTCATTCTTCTGCATTAATGTTATGAAACTCTTCACTTTTGACGTCTCGGCCAGGCAAACCTTACTTCTGCTAAGCATAACACTGTTATTATATTGGTACCCATGTGAAAAATCCAAAAAAAACTGGGAGTACGGATGTATGGTATTTGTACAACTGTATACATGCGCTTGTTATTCTCCTCTATTTATAACTTAGCATGGCCAAAACTGAATTTGCATCATATTTTCCAGTGCTTCAAACGAGAGTTGAATAAAAATGAGAATATCATGAAGACATGCAACTGTACCTTGAAAAAACACCTTTGTGACGAGCACCAGCATGAACCAGCTTATAATGCTCAGTGATCTGAAGGCTGCCCCAGTGAGATATTTCCACTTCACGTACAAGCTCCTCAACAACAGCAAATGCATTGTTATTCTCAAAATGGACAATGATGGGAGAAAATGAATAGGGAGCACGATCACTGTATGGCCCATACTTTAGCTCTGTTCCAGCACGATTAGTGGATTCCACTCTGGTGAAAGATTCCACCTTATTACTAGGCGTCCTAAGAAAAGTTGTCTGTTGCTTGATGTAATAGGGCGACAATATTGATGCACTATCACGATAGTAGACCAACTGGGACTCTGACTGGCTTATCTCTGCTGGGAAAGGCTCTAGAGAGTGAGTCAACACATACAGCACTTCTAATGTTGCAGTTTCACCTTTGCTTAACGGATTGAGCAAAGATATACTGAAAAATTTGGCCCCATTTGGCCCATTGGGTAGTTCAGTTGGTTTCACATCAAGGGGCAGATAAGTCCTCTTCTTTTGTTTTCCAGCAGTCACTGCTGCTTTAATGAGTGCCAAATGATCGAACTCAGTAGGCGGAAATGCAAGAAGAACTTCCGAAGCAGGAGATTCCCCAGTATTTTCAATCTGGTGGAAAGCCATTGGTCAAATAGGAATTTTACAAATTTTAGACATTCGACCAAACAAATTTTGTCCACGCGTTTAATGCATTTTACAGAATTTATAATGCATCAAGTCAACAGGAAACTGGCAAATACTCGGACTCCAACCCAAGGTGAAAAATTGAAGTGGCAAGACTCCTAATGTAAAGAAAAATGCTAGACATTGTAACTAGTGGTACTTGTTTTTTAACTAGTCCGATATCAAATTTCCATGTAAAAACTATTTGGGTCAGTGGGGTTTTAGCATGTGAATTCATGACTAGTTTAAAAGAAAAGGATGAAAATCAGCACGATAATATATAGTATTGCTCAAATTCAAAAGCCCTCTACAATGATCAGTACGTATATGTAATATTTATCACACATTGCATGAAAATCAAATTAACAAAACACTTGTTTTCGAAAAATAATACTAATCCATAAAAAGAAGATAAAATTAGGACTTTAATCCAACAAGCTGGAGAAAAACCGTACCTTTAACGTTAAGAAGACCTTGATAATGTGAGAAGTCAAGTCAATCTGAAAAAAAAAAAAAAGAAAAAAAGATCAGTCAAAAGTTCAAAAATCAGGAATTCACAAACAACAAAGTGGAGATCAAAAGAACTCCATGAATCAGCAATGAGAATCTAAATTGATTTTTTTCCCCAAAAATTTTCAGAGATTTTTGGCGAAGCGAAATTGAGGGGTGAGAAAGGCTCACTCTGCGCTCGGCGTTGAGGATCTGGATGTCCTGAGGGGAAGACGAAGCGGCGACGAACGAGAAATGGCAGGACATCGAGAAACATAGGACGAGGATTAGGGCTGTTGCGCCAATTCTCAGCTCACCTGCCATGGCTTCCTCTCTCTCTCTCTGGAAAATAAAGTTTGACGAGCAGAGTCATGGAGTCTTTCCTTGTCTAAATGGCTGTTGGGCTGGTTGGACCTTTGGGCCTAACATGTTTTGGGCTTACGCATTGGGCCATCTTTCAGTTGCCTATCACCGTCCCCTTAGGCCTTAACCTTTAACAGAGAAGGAAAAAGAGAAAATACATTTTTACAATTTATTCATGATAAATATCTTTTTGATTAATATTGTTCTTTCATTAAAAGATATTAATTAAGAACAAAAGGTAAAAATCTAAGACTCAGAATATTTATTTCTTTTTCCAACCTTACTAGTTACAAGCCTACACAAAACTATGGAAAGCCATATACTTTTCTCCATGATGGGGTTCTTTTACACATATAGCAAACTTTAAATAGTAAAGTGTCAATATAACAAAATTTTTGAAATATCAAAAGAATAACAAAACTTAATATCACTAAAATAATGACTCTATCATTATAGAGTGTAAAATGTGAAATTATTATGATAATTATAATGTCATTTTTGCTATTTTGTAATATTTAAAAAAAATTATTAAATTTCAAATTAAGGTATACAATTGTATCATTCAGTGTAATCACTCTCTACAAATTAAATTCAATTTAGAAAAAAAGGAAGGAGAAAGAATTTTGAGGTGCTTGATTCTTTTTTGTGGGAGAATTTTAAATTTTGCCCTGAAAAATATGGGTTGTCAAACTTTACCCTTTAAATTCAAAATGGCATAAAATTGTTTCCTGAACAATTGCAACTTTAATGTTTTTTTTCCACGAAACGCTATAGTGTATATATATATATATTAGTCAGAGATATGCGCTTTATACGTGTGAATTTAATTTTATTAAATTGTTTGATACACGTAAGATTTAGTTTATTTTCTTAATTTATTAATAATTTTCTTAATTAGTTATTTAAAAGTATATTTGAGAAAATAATATACAAGAGTTTTGTCAAGAGGAAAACGTTTAAGTAGGACAAGTATTTATAACGGCCACATTTAAAAAAAATGATGTTTTAAAAGACTACAAGAAATAATATTTATATATTTTTTAGGCATACATTTGAGAAAAATTATTTTGATATAGCATGACAAAAGATTATTTTAAAGAGGCACATTTAAAAGTATAAATTTTCAAAAGTAGTAGATATGGCAAAATGTACGTTTTAATTAACATGCGTATTTTAAAATTGAGAAGGCAATAGATAAATGAGAGTACAACTAACCCTAGTTTTGAAATATAGAGGAATTGAGGGAGAGAAAGAGAGAGAAAAAAGAAGTCTAGGTATTGGTCAAAGTTCTAGCACTATTTTTGGGCGCATTGCAAGACTCTCAACCCTAAGAATGAATCTCCAGGCTCGTCTTTGTTGAGGGCTCTTTTATGGTGTGGTAATGTGTCGTGGGGTGGCTTGATTAAGGTAGATCAACATCATTTGGAAGTTAGAAAGCATACATTTTGAAGGCATTTTCCGGCACCTTCAATGTTGGGTGACTAAGTGTTTTCAGAGGCTCTTTCCTAGCGGTGGTAGGCATCCATTGGTAGTAGTGGTGTCATCTCCAAAGGATAGTGGCGGGGTGGGTGCAAATCTTTCGCTACCATTTGACGGTCTTTATCTAGCTACACCGCTTGTCTTTCGAAGCAATCCTTCCCTCATAGTCCTCTCACCGGCTATGCCGTCGTCGAAGGCTTGTACTAGTGATGTTTTAGATTTTCTTTTTACTTTGGTGTATGCTTTAGTTTGTAATAAAGGTGTGACAACGTTACTTTCGCCATTTGTCGAGTGTTGTTTTGTAATAACGGAGGTGGTTTTCCCACCTTCTAGCTTAGTTTCTGTGTCTCATCCAATCGAGTTGATTTTTGATGGTGTGGGTGGTGATGTCCGTCTAGAGGCCTCTCTATGTTGTGTTGATTATATCCCCTTTATTTGGAATTTGGCATTGGTCATCTAAATTAGTTCATCAATTGCTGAGGTAATCTTTAAAGGGCTTTGTTCGTGATCGAGCATTTTGTGTCGAGCAATCTTTCCTTAATGAGTCTAGGTACTTGATTTTTTTCCTGTACTTGCGACACTTTTTTGGTGGATCTAATTGTTTGGGGTCAAATGTTATTTGTGACTTTGGATTAAGTCTGCATCTCTTTTGTTGAAATGAAATTTCCCATTTCAAAACAAAAGCAATAGATGAGGGGTATTAAAAAAGGAGTTAACTTGTTTTTTATTTTTTATTTTTCTAAAAAGATGAGAATAAGGACTTGGTGCATTAAAGAATCCAAAAAACAGAAAAGGGAAAAGAAGTGGGGGCACAAACAGTTATATGAAAGCATGAATTTAGGAAGTTACTAGTGATGTGCCGCGCATTGCGGTGGGTAATAATTTTATATTATATTAAGTTATTGCAAAAATGATGAAAATTAAAGATGAGATATTGTAAGTAAAAGTGAAAGGAAATAATCTTTATAATTCATAAGTTATAAGTAGTTTATATGTATATATTTATATATAGGCGGGCCTATATTATGTTCTTATGAAGAGTTATTTATATTGTACTTCAGTTTTTTTAGTGTCTCTTGTTTTGATTTTTTATTTGCAAAACATAAATTTTGAGAAGGTTAGTATTGATAACTGATGAAATTGCAGATGTTTTGATTTAGGGATAGTGATATTACTTGGTTCTTGGACGTTTTATAGGTTGTTATGCTTCTATTGATCGAGAATTGAAATGGTGAAAGTTTGTTTAGATGTGTATTTAAAACTATAAATATTGTTTTATATTTATCTATAGTATAAATTAGTATATTTAACTTACCTTGTGCCTGATTTTTTTAGGTCTGGGGTTTGTGGATGAATTGGTCTTGGAGTTGTTGGTGTAGTTCTTGTGTGGGATCTGAAATGGTAAAATATTCTTAATATATGAGATATCAATTTTCATGTGTGATCAGTATAAATTAGTAGAAATGTTTTACCTTGTAGTTGGCACTACAGTGGTTGGTATTTGTGTTGTTGGTATTGTCTTCTCTCTATCTTCAAATATCTTTGAGATTATTGTATTTGTTTGTGGTCCTTTTTATTGAAAGTATATTTGGAATATCTTTGTTTTCCCTCTTAATTGAGTGATGATCGGGGGAATTGTAAATGGATCGGTGAAGCCTTCATCAATTGTGAGTGTAGAACATGGTTTTTTTTTATTAGGGCTTGTGCTACTCTGCTAAATATAGTGGCACTTATGTCTCCAGTTGTATCTTCAATTTGGACGGTTAATCTGTACCTGTAATATGTAAAGTAATAGTGAATTGATGTTATAAGTTATAAATTATGGATAATAAAGAGAAATAGATGTTGACAGTAGTGTGGTTGCAATTTTGGTTACCATGGGCTTGGTGTTGTTTTTATGTGTCCATGACTATCACACCACCAACCAATTCCTGCTTGCTTTAGTTGTCGATAACATCTAGATTAGGAGTTGTAATACCATGCTTGTTCTAATGAGAATCCTGTTATTGTAGCTTTTACTGTAAATTTTGTGCCCTATATAGATAAGGAAAAGTTGTTAATTTCAATGGTATAATTGTAGGGAAAAAGGGATAGGAAATATTATGTTACTAACTTCGTTACTTTATTTGTCTAATGTGTTTAGTTCATGAATTGTTCTTCTGTTATACATCTTTTAATTTTCAATGGATTGAGTTGATGCCATTGATGTTGTTATGAAGTCAATTTCTTGAGGTTGCTGAGAGAATCTGTGGATCAAAGGGTAACAATGGTTAGGAAAAGAGGTAATAGAAGATTTTTTGTTTTTAAATAGAATGAAGTGTTTTTATTACATTGTCTTTAATGTTTGTGTCTCTGGTATTTCTGAGTCAATGTAGAAAATTGTTGCTGTAGTGCTTGATACATATGCATTTCTTAAAGTTTGGACGATAAATTAATTAGTATTTCCATATCTTTTCTTGTAGATGTTTTGTTTTTAAGTCGAATTATTTTTATAAAATGTTAGGAAAGTACCTAGATATTGCTTTACTAACATTGTTGTAAAGACTGCTACAACTGGTCCTTTGATTGATTTGATGACATACTCATCAAATTGATCTGCTTTGTGTGCCCACAAAGTAACCTGAAGCTGTTCATTTCTATTTGGAGAATAAAATAGGAAAATAAAGATTATAATGGAATATTTTGTTTTGTAAAAGGTTTGTGTATTTATTGGGACATAATTGTGATGGAGTTTGTGCGGAATTTATGTATCTTATATTTTGTATCATTATGGTCCGCTGCGATGTTTGTCTATTATTGATAACTATTTGCTCAAGTGTTTGTACTTTTGTAATGACGCCAATGACATCTGTTAGCAGATAAATAAGTTATTATAAGGATATGGATGAATAAATTAATAGAAATTTTTGCTTTTCGGAAGTAATGGTTGATGTTACCGCTTAAAATTTCAATTGTCTGTATTCTATGTTGGAGCTGATCGAACTCAATGAAATAAAATATGTGGAATTGAATGGGTAGTGGTTCTTCTATGACTGGGGCAAATACTGTGGCACGTGCAAATTCCAACATTGCATTATGGGGCACAACTTTGTATGTTGGCTTGTTTTGTGTAACAAAGAAATTACTTATGTCATATATATTGCCTAGTTGAATTTTTTGAGAAATAGTGTCTGAGTCACGTGCCCGAATTGTTCTTTGAATTGCTTCGTGCTGCAAGAAAGAGAAATGGGATTGTTATTTATTATATAATATCATATAAGACCAAACATAGTATAATATGGTGTTTGGAAAAGAATATTACCTCCTAATCGACTAAGATACAGTCAAGGCTTATTAAACAGCCTGTATTGAGATCATTGTTTGTCCACAGTCTACAAATTCTTGCCCTAATAGTTTCATAGACTTTATTTGCTCTTAATGCGCGAATTAGTGTTGTCATTTTTCCTAATTGTTGATGGAGAAAAATCATTATTTAATATATGAGTGAGTAATTTTATAGAATCCGTT